GAAAAACACAATTTGTCATTAAGAAAATTGAATCCTATGTTAGTTTTACAGGTTTTTGAGAGACACTGAAATTTATAAACTACCAACAAGCCTTTCTAATCCTTAAGTTGTTAAAGCTTTTGTTGGCATCCACTGGCCTGGGTTGCTTGTGTTTTTATCGGGCACATAAGTCTCACCCCCCATCTTGGCGCCACCACTGTATGTTGTGAATAATATTTGCACTTTTCACGGGCTATGATATTGCTTTTACGCTTGGAACTTGAGACATGAAATCCATCAAATTTTGAAATATCAAAAAAAAAAAAAAAAAAATTATTACTTTGTAAATATTTCAAAAACTACTTGACAGTGTGCTTACATTATCTTACAATTTTTTCTATCAGCCCTTTAGCTACAAAAACCACACACTTATGCTATGTTACTTGGGTAAATTACAATAGTAAAATTTAGCTAAAAGCAAATGTATTCACTCATCATTCATTCCCCTTGGGAATAGGTGTCAGAAAGTGTCAAACTTGAAGGAGGGGGAGTAGAACCATCAACCCCCAGATTAACAAGCTGTCTTTCAGAAATTGATCAGTCCTGATAAAAAAACACTTTGTGACTTCTGAATTTTATGTAGGAATGGCTATCTATGGTATTGCTCTGAAGCATATCTTTTGTATCCAAATTATTCAATCACTTTATTTTCATTAGAAAAGACTATTTTTAACCTTAAGGAAGGTGGGAAGAAATGAAAATGAAATTTTCTTTTGTCATTTAGCAAAATGATGTATTTTTTTTAAAGTTAGGTAACAAAGAAATAAAGATTTAATTTGTATTTCAGGACAGCATTGGGAATAGTCAAACTACAAACTACTGTATTTCTGAAATTGACATTTTGTTAGCAGTGAATCTGCAAGCCAAATATAAATCAAATATAAAATTTCACAAACATTAAACAAATATTAAATATTTAATATAAAATTTTATTTATTTTCAAAATCATTATCAATGGCCTGCGGATACACAAAACAGTATATATAAAAAATTCTCGCCTTATAGTAAGCTTATTTCATCCATAAATACAAATAGATCGATTTAAAATTAAACTTCCTTTCACAAAATTTTCCAAAGATAGGATGCCCATGACATCTTTTGGTTCACTGAGATTTGAGTGCAGTTATCCAAGGCAATAAATCAGAGATCAAGTCTTTTTGCCAGTGGCAGCTGGTGGCAGGCAGCAGTAATAATGGATTTGACCATGCTACACAGTCAAGGCTACACTACACTTTGGGCCAACACACATTTTGATCATTAGTAGTAGCGCTGGTTTAAAGAAGATTAAAAACGTTAAAAACATAAGCATGCCCTCACAGAGCCTAACAATCAAACATCCTGGCAATCATGAACATTTCCAGAAAACCTGACATCAGAAAAGTTGAATTCATAGCGTCTCTCATTTTGACCATTGATTGGAATGATAAATCTTGTTAGAAGTGACAGGCAGTAAATGAGTATGGTAAGCTATCAAATAACCATTAACAAATGAATCAAGATTTTAATATTCATCAATTCTATCTGTTCTAAAGAACATTGATATGTCGCCAATACAATCAGGAAAATAAAACCAATTGCCAATATAAACTATGGATTAAATAAATGCATTGTAGAAAATAAATAACAGAAAATAGTAAAGTACTGCGTAAGCCAATTACTCAACGATTTCTGCCTTCAGTGGCAAATAATATATTAATTCCTTGCAACTAATGAATGACGAATTCAGAAAATATATCTGTTCCATTTCACTATCACTCCCGGCATTTATATAGCGCCTTTCTTGGCAGTAACATAATATTTGGTATGTATAGTACTGTATATCGTGCGATAAGGACACCAACGATTTTAATATAATATATATATAATATTATAATGATAAATATAATAATTGGTAGTAAATTCTAAAAATAATAATAAAATAATATTACGACTTGAGTTTGCATCAAGAATTATCGTAGGAGTGATGTTTTGCCCTACCTGACGTATTATTGTACCGAATACCCAGTACATTCCCAAATACTGTAAATTTACAAGTGATTCAGGTGGGAATCGAACCCACGACCTCCAGATAACTAGCCTGAGTATTCAGTATGATAACATGTCAGGTAGGGCAAAACATCACTCCCAATAATAATAATAATATTAAACATATGTAAAGGGATTTCCTATTTAGATATACAGTAAATAGGAGAACTTTACAGACTTACAAATTGTATTAATACACATAACAAGCTTTTGTCCACATTGTGGTCTTCATCAGGTGAATGTGAATTGAAAAAATATGTAGATATGTGTACAGTTTCTCTTTGCATTCAAAATATCTTGATGATGTCTAATTGTTGAATTACAATTCAATGCAAGTTTTGTTGTTATAATTATTTGTCAAATCTCATCTCCACAAAGGCTTGCTTCATTCGTTACTGAATGATGATGTGTTCAGATTCAGAATCTGTTCCTTGTAATTTGATTGTAAATTGACATCAAATTGAAACACAATGAAATCTTGCTATACATTTTTTTTGTTCTAAATTTCAGGGAATGTCATGAGTCACAGTAAAATCTCAAAACTAGTGTATGATTTTAAATAACGTTTCTTTCCAACACACAATACAGTGTAGACCTAAACAAACGAACTATAAATATGTATAGTTCATCCAACTATTTTTATATAATTTTATTTAAAAACTGAAATGATTCTCAATTTCTGGTAAGTCTTGGATCATGATAAAATAAAAATGTGTTTCTTATAAATAACATTAAAAGCAGGCTGACCTTTCTTTAATTAAACGTTAGGAACATTTTTGATCATTCTAATTGACTTGAAGTAATGTCTCTTAAGCTATAGTTCAACCAACTAGGGAGGTTTAATTAGCGATGTGTATTATTGCATATATAACTAAAATTTTATTTATTTATAAACAGACTATGACTTGAATTTACAGTAATTATTATTATGCCCTGTGGCTCTTTTAATATATCTCATGCCAAAAGATATTTGTCAGACATATATCCAATAAGCTGTGTATTGTCATGAAACTAGTGTATTATATAATTTGATTGTGTTATCTATGGTTTAACTGTTGACGATCTATTAATAACATTTTCTCTCATGTCAAGTGTTTGGACCAATTTTAAAGTAGTTCTAAAATATAAATGATTCACAGTGGAAAAATTGCTCAAATTTGCACACATTTTGAAATCTTGCCTTCAGATTCAGGGCGTTTTTCCTGATCCCAAGAGCTCTGCATTATATACCCCCACAGGGTCTGGGGTTACCCTGAACACCAGCAGTCAGTTTTAGTATAGCAGCATGAATAATGAAATAGATTTAAAAGAAAGTGTGTCATGGCAATTAATTTATCTCGGGTGATAATGTTGAAATATTTTTCCGGCCCATTTCATTATTAGGCCTACCGTTAAATTGAAGTACATAGGCTTAATATGTTTTCAGATAAAAAGCTCTTAGTTCAGAATTTAAATTAGGTTTAATGGATATTGAAAAACAAATCCTTTATTAGAAGGTAATTAGGTAATTATGCATTGACAATATCATTAGGAGATGCTTAAACAAATCATTCTGGGGTGATAGATATTATACATTAAATGGGGAAGATAGTTGAATGCTCCAAAATATATTATTTTACATTTCTATCCACAGGTAAGTTTATTTCATTGATGTCAGCAAGTAATCATTTATTGAATTATAGTAAAGCTTTTGAAGTGCTCAATAAAATAATATATAATAATTTTATTTAAGGAGTAAATGTTTTGCAATCATGCTTTTAAAATTTCCAACTATATCTATCTAAATGTTGTCCAATCATGTGGTTGTTTGTTTCGGAGCATATTATATAGTTTATGTAGATGAAAATGTTTTCAGATCATTCTCTTTAGTGTTTCTAAGTATCTTATTCTTCTTTATTATTATTATTGTTATTGTTATTATTATTCATTATTATGATGTTATGAAAACCTACCTTAAGGGGAACTTAGACAATGGAGAAATTAGAGAACAATTAAAAAAACGATGTTAAAGGGAAAAAAACACAAAAGATATTCCCATTAAGTAAAAATTGGTGCATATTATTATTATTATTATTATTATTGTTATTATTATTATTATTATTATTATTTATTAATATTAATATTATTATTATTATTATTATTATTATTATTATTTTTATTACTGATATTTAATCATTGGCAGCAGGGAATATTCTTCCATCACTCATTAATTAATGGTGAAGTTCTCAAACAACTGATGGTGTAAAATTAATAATATGACTGGATTTGAGAAGGAAAGTAGTGTTTAATTGTTAATCCAATCTAGATCATAATGAACTAATTTGTTTTTATTTTACAAACATCTAGCTAAACATTGCCTTATTCTTTAGTATTAAACTAAATAATGTAAATTTACCTGCTTAATGGCAGGATTATTGGGCGGTTAACTGAGGGTTCTGAATATTGAGAAGTTGTCTCAGCATGTGGTTCTTGGTATTGCAGCATATCGTATAGTTTTATTGATATTTTGATATTACACTTTCTTGTATGATTCACAATATACAAAAGGCTCTGAATATTTTACGAGTTCATCATGTGGCCGCATAGTAATAAAACAATATCTATTCAAAAAGAATACAGCGTGTATAGTTTCCCACGCATTCACTTGTTGCACATTCTTATTCCTTACTTTGTTGGTAGCTTTTAAATACTCATTGATGATTGTAATTTAGCATTAAATAAATAAATATTGTATAAAATAATTCATGTAAAAACAATTTTTTAGTTTTCAGCTATCCAATTGGACTTAGTATTTTACTAGGGTCCTTTTAAAAAAATTGTATTCGCATCCAACATCAAGTAACTCGCCAATTACGGAATGGATCGATACTTTAAACCAAATGGCTTACAAAGTGGAGTTAATTTGGAGTGGAGAGAAGTTCTGCTGTCAGAGGAATTGAACCCAGAACCTTGGAAGTGGAAGGCAAGCATCTTAATAACTAAGGTATACAACTCCACTTCCACAACTTTTTGAATATTAAATGATAATTATCTTTTTAATCAGTATCATGTTTTAATCGAAGTAGAAACTCATTCCAAGGAGGAATGTACTTTTATAAAAAAATTAGATTAATGGATGTTGGGTTGTCATGGTAGCAAGGCTAAATTATAAGAACTCCATATCAAAAAGTTAGAAAAAACAAGGTGATTCAAAGAAATATTTTTAACTAGGTCATTTGAAAATACACAAATTAATATGTTAGAATTTTTGCTGAAACACAAACTAATTCAAATTTCATCAATATTCTGTATAATGAAGGTAGCCTATTATAATGAAAAAAGTACATTTCTTTTGTTCTCCATCAATTATATTATTTATTAACAACAGGAAATTTGCCAATTGTCGAAACAATGGTCAACGATCTAAAACCAAAGTAACATTACACTTCTCTCTGGAGTCTGATGAGGTAAGTCATCCTCATCTGTTCTCACCTTATACCAGGTGGTAATACTGTACCTCATCATCTACTAAGCATTGAGTAGAGAGATGGCTAGTCCCTGACCATGCCAGGATGGATGGGCAACTGGTCCCAGTGTGATTAACCTTCTTGTAACTTCAACTTAAAACATGCAAACAATTCAACTTTGATATATTGTGAAATTGAAAGATTTGTGTTAAATGCGCAAATTAACTTGTGTGGTTTGGGTTTATTCATGGACATTTATGGGGTATTAATTAGAAATGGATACTTCTTTCCCTCTAATGACATCTTTACACCAAGCATATATCAATTTAAAATAATATTTATTATTATTTTTGTTTTTATTGTATATTTACTCCTAGGCCTACTATTTTGGGCACCAATAATGTATTGGAAGGGCAACATTTATTAATTTATAGAATGTCTTTTTAGATCAAGACCCAGGATTTCAGCAACTCACTCACTGACTGGTCGTCAGTGTGGAATACCATCATCTCTCGCAACCAGAACAGGCTCAGAGTAAGAATTATTACTGTTATGTTTTCTTACTTTTAAAATTATTATTATTATTATTATTATTACAGTATTATTAGTATTAGTACCTACCTAGTCATCATCGGACATGATAGACAGCAAGAAGAAGAGATAGTATTATATTTTCATAAAGTTACAAACATTTATGCAGATTTACAATTGAAGAATATGGCCTTATGTGCCTCATGGCACGAAGAAGATAGGTGAAGTGACTATTAAAGAATTTATTTTAATAATTATTAATATTTTTGTGTCATTAACCTCTGTACTCAAAATAAAATAAAACAGGAGATACAGTGAAGATTTGCATCAAAATTTATTTGAAAAATACGGGTAATAAGTACTTTCGGTCAAAGACCATGATCAAGTAGTATATATTTTATTTTATCATCAGTACAACATGAACAGGATCGGATCATTAACAAACCGACGGATAAGTAGCAAAACAAATCACTGATACATATATCAATAATAAAGGCAATCATCACTGTAACTCAGTGGTGGCTCTAGGATATATTTTCTGGGGGGGCTAAGTTGTCCGACAGGGGGACTTGAGATTGTAGGCTCGAGCTGGGAGAAGGGGTTGGGAGGGGGTTCCCCCTCCCAAATGAGATATTTTTAAAAGAATATCAACATCTAGATGACCGAAAATGGCACTCTGAGATTGTGACAGACATGTGTTGGCTTGTTGTGGGCCTATTTTTATATGTTTTATGGTCTGACTACCCGACAAGCTCTGTCCGGCGGAGTGGCTTGACCCCCCCCCCCCCCCCCCCCCCCCCCCCCCCCCCCCCCCCCACCACTCCGCTGGCTCCGCCACTGTAACTCCCAATGTTATTTTCCCCAACTGTGCACTAATGAAAAATTAGTGCACGGTTTGCTGGATTTTTTTCGGTTTTTACCATTCTTATAAAGAGTCACACATCTTTTTGATGACCATAGGATTCCTGCTATTCCATTTCCTGGGAAGTGATGCCAAATGAAATAAATAAATAAATCAATTGATTGGGAAAAATGTAGTTTTCAATTTTTCCCGATAATTGATCAAGTTGCTTACCATCTGTTGAATAGATACATATGAAATCAAATTTGCAATTCTTATCATGTTGAGTTGATCATGGCAATGTTAACACGGAGATTACGATCTGTGAAGCAACTGGAGCCAAAGTGACCTGGCTTCATGAAGAATTACTCTGTTACCATGACAACAAATCTTTAAAACCATGGATCATCTTATATCTAATCCCAGAAACCACTTGCTTCACACCGCCTACTTTGAAACAATTAGGCCATTTAGATTTTTTAGGATATGCTCTAGTAATATAAATTGTAGTTGTAATAAACATTTGCAGATTTGAGAAAAAAGGGTGGGAAAATAAATAATAGAAAGAAATATTAATAAAATTGAAACATTTAAAGAATGACTGCCTACTAAAAGAAACTAAGTCGAGTTACCCCTATTCTCCCCCCCCCCTTAAAATAGAGAAAATTACAGACCTGAGGCTACAGTATAGTCAATTGAATATTAATCGACCTTGACTTTAAAATCCGAGTAAGCTACTACTACTTCCTACTTCTATTTACTGATCATCTTTTTGGAATGAGTTTTAAATTATGGTACTTAGTTTAAGATTAATAATTATTTTAAATATTAAAGGGAAAAACAAGAAATTCTTTACATAATCACTGATAAGATTGTATGAAACAAACTCTTTGGAATGTCATTTTTTTATCTTTAGAATTCATGAACAAGAACAAAAAAGAATAATGATGGCTTGCATCACATTTTTTGAGTTTCATACTATCTACGAAATTTATCGGTGGACCACCATTGTACCACTGATAACATTATATAATAATATAGAGTAACAAAACAAATATGCCTTCCACATTTTAAAGAAACCAATAAGGCCAAATAAAAAAAAATACTAGTTTCTCGTCCTCTCACGCATTCATTTTCTCTGCCTCACCAATTTTTATTTTGTTAAAAATTTCCTTTATTTTACGAAATGTACGAAAATCTTTCTAACTGACATCGGTAAAATTCCTCTCTCGATCGTTCGTAGTTGGGGATACATATGGTATGAACCACGTCTAGTGCTTCTTTTTTTTGTTTTCAATGTGTCTACTTAGTAAAAGTGAGAAAGTATAGCTGTTTCCCATCAACCATCTTGGATTTGCCATCTCACAGTAAAAAAAAAAGGGCCATCATTCTCCTTTTTTTCAAAATATTGGGATGATAAACTAATTTTGGTTTTTCTTGGTCTAAAATATATGCTGGTTTTTATGTATAATTTGTGATATTTTGTTGAATATTGGACCTGCCGGATATATTTTGAATTATTTCCATGAATCAAAGATGTGGATCTTAATGACAGCTTGAGTACTCATCAGAAATGACGAAGGGAACAAGAATGCGAGCTTATATTACGAGATTTAACTCTCATTATAATCAGGAAACTTGCAAAGTGGTTGCAAACAAGTAGTTTCTATCACATCTGAGAGCTAGCCCCCATCTGTTTGCATCATTCATTTATAACAAGTCCATCCTAAAGAAAATGTAAACACCATGCGCTGTTTGTCATGTGATTGGCTACTATATGACACCCTGTCACCTCATTGTAGTCATAAAACTACATCAAAAACTTGGACATGCTGGAGGAGGGGCTGCTCTCTTGGTTCTCCACCTTGAGATTGGAATTTCAAATCTCACACATTTTGCTCATGTCCCGATAATGAAAAGTTGCTGTTATTTTATGGCCGGTGAATCCCATTGGGAATAGGAGTTAATTTTCCTTTAGAACCTACCATCTCTTTCTTGAAGCAAAGCTACAAGAAAGGAACAAAAGGCCAACAAGTGAACAATCAAAGCACCTCTGATAGTGGCCAATCCCGAATTGCACAGGCAACAAGAGAAAAAAAATCAAGGATATAAAATTTGAAGATGTAACACTAATTTGTAAAATGGAACTCAATACATAAAATAATACCTAAGATGTTTTAAGTTTTAATGTGTGTTTTTAGATTTCGATTCAAGTACTTAATTAGCTTGAGGACATGCCATTGCTGAAATTTTTAATTTCTGTTGTGTAAAGTTTTACCATGATTAAAGAAAAAAGTTATTAATACAGTTGAACTTGTCTAAGTCAAATCAAAAATGACATTGAAAAATTGTTTAACTGTGATAAAATTCGACTTGCAGGGCGTTAATTAATGGAAAACACAACAATTTGGCATATAAAGTAAGATCAACTTAGAAATTAATTTAATAGTTATGAAAAGTCGACTTAAGCAAGTTTTACTGTATTATGATAATGATAAAACATTGACTGCAACTTTAAAGGGGGGAAATGTACATTAAACTAGAATGATTGTTATACAATGCACTGTAGGGTTACTTTGCACTCTAATACATCTCTGTGACAGGGTGCTGAATGAACATCCCCTTCAGTGCCTTTGGGTTCAACCATAATTGACCATTTGACCATGAACATAAAATAACCTGAGTGGGAGGAGAGGTGAAATAGCATGGGAGATTGATAATCTCTGTTTTAGGGAAGAAATGTTCATCATAAACCTGTTAACAAAAAGTGTAAATCAATAAAACTGGTGATATTGGGACCTGTGAGGCCGTTTCATTTTGATGCTCTGCTTACAAAATACAAGCAATTACAATGCAACACGTTTCTAACAAAAAAGTAACTCAAATTTCTCAAGTACCTGATGAAAAACATTTTTACGAATGTAATGTGTTTCTCTTCTAATTTTCCTGTCACCCATTAAAAAATCCTTATAAGTTTAAAAAATGCCTGAAAAGGACCTTAATACTATTCTGTTGCGAGTACATTGACCAATGATCACTTTAACCGCTCTTTTAAGTAATGTGCAACTCTCTCTGTACATAAAAACAGGGGGTTGGGCAACCAGATATTTCAATTTCAGATGATTTGAATCAATCTATACCTCAACCTAACTATGCAAGATGGTCCCCTCATGATACTGGTGCAGCTGATAAACTATATTTTCTGAGTTCTTAGTTTGTATTTATGCCAACGTTCTAGGCTATTATTTCATAAAAACATGCTTGTTGATACAATTTTAGGGGTGGGCGGGCACTAAAGCCTGTTTATCTTCCTCTAAATCTGCCCTGGGAAACAGAAGAGCATGTGATTTGAACCAGCGACCAAATGATTTTTACGGCTGAGTGCACACACAGTGGCTTCTATTAGTCTCGCCAACTTGGCACTTGCAGAATAAGAAAAATGTTCTTTCTTAAACAAATTAAGATGTTGCCAAGGATACAAAAGTGCTACCAACTTGAAATGTAATTTACCGTGAAAGATTTTATGTACTTTATGGACTAATGTTTACTGTCAACTCATCAGCTATATAAAAAAGCTGTAAAAATTCTACTAAAAAATAAAAGCGGGGAAAAATCATTCCACTCTATGGCTTATTATTGGAAATGCAGTGTTTACTGATGAGACTTCACAATTTCCAGCCTGATTTGCCTCAACAAAGTAAAAAATGTTTAAGTAGGCCTACGTTCAGTCTGCTTTATTGTAATATATGCTTCTTGATAATGTATATTATTTATGTATTCTGAATAAATCTGCATAAATTGTTGGAATATGAATATTATCCCAAAACCTGAACTTGAACTTGCATTGAACTTTCTAATAAGATTATTATGTTTTTTTATTTTTTTTATTTGGAGTTTAGGCCTATTTTTGGCCTATTTATACAAATTTTATTTTGTTTACTTTATTATTGTATTTCTGCAGTCTTGGTTTTTGTATCCTGTTCTCCTCTTTCTTTTTTCCTATTTGTTTTCAATAATTTATCTCGGTTTAGTAGACTGCCAATTTTTTTTTTCTAAGCTTTTAAGCCATTAATCTTGAAATCCAGACAGGAAACCTCTCATTTTAATTAACAGATTACGCTCAACATCATTACTTGCTTCGTGAATCACCTGAATGTCTGAAATAATAAGTCGGAATTGTCAAAACTATTTTACAATCATTATAAATTTTGCTTATGTGGGTTTCATCCCTTTTTGTCTTGTCAACCACTGAGGACTGCTCGGGGGCCGTAGTTCAGTGAACCCCTATTGCTATGCCATTGCCTAGACTTACGTTAGACTGTAAAGGCAACAATGTTCTCCAGACAGTAAAGATTAACACATTATGTGAATAGTATTGTCATATATCTAATAACATCTACGTGAAGTTCATTAAAGTGAGCGTGGTATGTTGGTGAACTTTTCCTCCTTGACTGTTCATCAATATCCAGCGACACTTAAGGGGTACATGTCCTATTTAAATGGCTATCAAAAGTTTCTTACCCTACTGTTTGCCAATATATATTTTCTAAAAGGCAATAAAATACTTCAATCTTTAATAGTGAATACTGGTGGTTAATATCTAATTGATAGTTAAAACCCTCTTGGCGAAAATTGACATACAATAGGCCTACATAATAGTAACATAAAAGTGATTAAAATTTTTAACAAATGCAATTACATTAATCTCTAAATTAAGACCCTTCCAGTTGAAGACCACTTTCAATTAAAGACCACTTTTCTGTGGTCGTAAATTAACAACTGTCTTTAATCTTCATTACTCTATTTAGAGATTAAACCTGCTATAAAAGACCATTGAAACCCGGTCCCAAAAGTTGTCTTATATTTTGAGTTTAGTATATAATCTCAGGCATGTATATATATATATATATACTTATATATTGAAAGGTAGTAACTTAAATATTCTCATAAGTTTAAGTTATGGTAATAATATTAGATTCAATAGGAATGATGATGATTCTTCTGGCATTTTATCACAGTGACTTTCTCTGAAAAGATCACTCAAGTCATTCATGTGGGTTTGTTCACAAATATTTTTGGGGACATCAGTACAATAACTTGTGTCAAGCTGAGTAAAACATCATTCCATCATTATTATTTGAATTTCCTTACACAAACATCTTTTGAAATATTTAATTTGTGGTGAAAGTAGCATATGTTGGTACTGTAAATTAATTTATTCTTGGTACGGCCAATTGTTGTCATAGTGAAAAATCCGGTTGCTTAACCCCATGCAGTGAAACTCGACCAAGTTTTAAATCCCAAAATTGTTAAGAAATTCATTTATATATATATATTGAAGAGTAGACCTATGAGACACAATATATACATTCACATTTATAATATACTTACATTTATTTAATATTTATTTTATTTTTATTTGAACCGTATTTAATTAGGGTGAACTGTCCAGCAGAAGATGATCACTTGGGACCCTCAAAATTTTGGACTATTAATTGAGCTATTATGGAAAATCCAGTTATTCAATTGATCAGGAACATTACCTGTTCAGTCAATCAATCACAGAATAAGTCAACCAATCAATGTATCCATCTGTATTATTGGCATAAGCTGAGTGATGAAAATGCACCCCACCCCCCTCACCCATGGCAGGGAATTGGTTCCACTAAGTGAGTTAAAATATTCAAAATGACCATTATTTTTCATTGGAATAGAAATTTAGTTCAGCTTTCTCATCCCTCTGTTGGGATTTTTCTTTGCTTTAAATTCAAACATAACCACAAAACAATTTAAAGATGAAATTAAAAATTTGAAAAATGAAATTCAACATTGAATTGCTTCCTAATTTACATATTGAATTAAGTTATTTATCTAAAAATTAGAATGAGAAAAAAATTCTTATGTAATAATACAACAGTAATTAAGATCAGTGTTACAACAGCTTTTTTGCACAGAACCTGAAATTGGCTGGTAATTTAAGTAGAATTTTGGTAGTTCAAAATGTTTACATTTGTAGGAGATAGCAGGATAAATGTATGCCCACATACATTATGTACTTTAATTTCAATGTACTGCTCTAAAATATTTGAGTTACAATTTTATGGGTTGAATAAAAATCGACTAAATTGTATTTGAAGCTTCTACTGAAAGTTTTTTTACCATTGAGGGCAGCAGACTAAGTTCAGTTCCAGGTGGCATTGAAGCAGGTGGCACCCTACTGTATAACATGTGGCATTTTAGCAATGCGTAAGTGCGGTCAAATATTTCTTTACGCTTGAGGGAACGGGTAAGTGCGGTTCAAACATCATTTGCGCTTGATAAACAATATAAACAAACCAGAATGGTAAGAAGAACTATGTTTACATTTTAATCGGTCAATAATTACTGACCCATTAATTGTCACATCTCCTTTTCCAAATAAAAGAATAGAAACTCAAATGATCAATGCCGCATTCCTTGATATGGATTTACTGTCGAGAAAGTGAATATGCTGCACGTAACAGTACTAAACGAAAAAAAAAAATCCTAGAGGAGTAATGTTTTTCTTACAATACTGTTTTCCTGTAAACGTTATACTTATCGTGTTTTTTTTCAGTTATGTCGATAATCATAACAAGATTGAATGAAAAATGTAAGTGAAAAAAATATGCAATATAGTCCTATTGATTGCTTGATGGCAGACACTGTTATGGTCACTGGTAGGTCTGGTATACGTGGGTGTAAACTAGTTGTATATGAAAGAGATCAATCCAATCGATATTATTTACAAGGAGCAACAGGTATAGATGACGACATTGTGACGTAAGCAACAGGTATCAAAATAAGTTGGATTTGATTGGATCCGAGTTGATCACCTACATAAATCGATTGAGAACATAATTCATCGAAAATATAGCGATGCCGATTCGTGGGTCTAATGTTAAGTGCCGTCTGAGCACAAGTTGAGAACTAGTGCTGGTGGGAAACTATTGGAATGGAAAAATATAGGTTTCTTGATCAAATGTTAGGCCTACCGGTATTTTACCAATTCACCCGGCTGTTAATACATTGATTTTATAATTATTCGATAAAAAAGAACTGGTCCAACTAGCCCTTCTGATAAACGATGAAAGAAAAAAAAGAAGATAAAAATCAATACCAGACTTACCTCTAAGCACGAAGGTCGAGAAAATTAGCAACAGGAAGATAGACATCGTTAGCGTCTTCATTAATGAATAATGATTTTTAGAGAGCAACCCATTCGTGTGCATACTCTGCATGAGTTCTTGCCAAATAATGTGGAACAAAACTCGATCACTGTTTCAAAAAAATATCTTTTCGAGAAGTTGATTTGGTGTCCATCTCAATTGCATTTCCAGCGATCTGCCTCCTCCCACTTTCGATCACTGTGCTTTTGCATATTTAATTAGTTGGTAGCGACAGAATCAGAAACGCTTAGAAGAGAACGTGTCGTACGTGCGGAGAAGAAACGGACGGAACCAAATTTAATAGTCTCAAATACATTTCATTTTTTTCATCTTCATCGTAATGTTTTGCAGATTATTATAATTGCGTGATTGTTCTTATACAAATTGCGATCGTCTGAAAGATCGTGACTGGCTCGCTTTAACACGTGAAGAGCACAAGCGTTTTTGACTGTTTGTAGTTAAAACAACACTTAGTTTGTTATTTTTGTGGCTTAATGTTTGCTGTATAGAGGCCTAATTTTTTTCAACTAATCAACAAGCGTTAATACTGTTAATTATTTAAGGTAAGCGCATCACATTTTTACGTCCCTTCTATTTATACTACTGATTTGCAAACTAAATAGAATACAACTGACTGCGTTTTTCGCTGCTGTTATACCTCTGTACTATTGCTACTGCTGTATATTAATAGTTCAGTTGTTATGTAGGCCTATTAATATTATATTCATTGCGTATAGGGGCCGGGAACTTTTTCGTAAGCATGTTTGAAAGTTTCCATGTTTTATCTTCTAACTTGTGAGTGTTTCCGAAAACTAATGTATAACGTTCTTTGACTACAAATAAAGCAACACATACACATCATAGCATTTGGGGCGGGGCGAGGGCGGGGGGAGTGTCCCCGACGAAAACGGACGCGGTCGTGGTCAGTGGGTTCCAAGGGCGAAACCACAAGTTAATTAGAATTTAGCGATTTTTTTTTTTACTTTTACCAAGTAGACACATTGAAAGCAAATAAAAGAAGCACTAGACATGATCCCATATGTATCTCCAACCGTGAATGATCGAGAGAGGAATTTTACTGATGTGAGTTAGCCAGATTTTCGTACATTGCGTAAAATAAAGGGGGAAAAAATTGGTGAGGCAGAGAAAAAGGATTCGCAAGGGGATGAGAAACTAGAAATTCTTTTTATTTGGCCTAATAAAACTGACAAAATTCTGATGATGCACGCCCAGCTTAATGCAAAATGCCTATCAGCCAATACTGCTGTATTGGCATCAATTGCTGCAAATTCCAAGATTTTTACACAGAAAGTGAATTCCACTGTAAATATCAGAATGAGAATCAACTCCATTCACTACACAGTGGTGCATCTAAGTAGGTCTTGGGAAGAAATCCTCATCCCCCCCCCCACACTTTTAAAATTGTACTTCTATGCCAACTCCCCACTGTAAATTTACAGAAAAAATTTTACAGTAATTAATTACTGTAAAATTAGTGGGAAACTCAGCCCAGGGCAAAGTTATTACTTTGACTGCACATACCTCCCCACCATGCTCCCTATCACCCCCCACCCCCATCTCCCTTTGCTAATAATAGGTAGGCCATAATACTGTTGTTCAGTATTAGCTTCATATGGAACAAGAACGAACTCCACTCTATAAACCTTCAGATTGAATGAAAAATAACTTCACACAGTAAGTCTCAAAATGAGTGTTTGTGTGGGAGGGTGGGGGGCTGTCTCTTATATACATCTAGATGTGGCAGAATGGTGGGATGAGAGGGGGGAGGGGGAATGGTGGGATGAGAGCTTGTTTCACCATGGTTGCATTTAAGGAGTTAAATCAGAGCTTACCCTTGACCTATTTCTTGTTATAGGAATTTTTAATGTTTAGTCACAGATCTTTGTTTTTAGATGACATACTATATTGGAAATGTGGAATAATTTGCTATTATTGAAACGTAATTTTAAATTGTAAAAAACTTAATTTTTGTCATTTGATTTCTGCAGCGTTTACATTGCATTTTAATTGATATTGATCACCAGCAGCAATCTCATTACACTAATCTTGATTGAAGTTTCAGGCAATGGCTTTGGCACCGGGCCGGGAAAAATAAAAACTGAAAATTATTTACAGATTGACTTTGGTGCCATGTCTGTAATTTTGTATCAACTAGCGCGTGCTAATTGTTTAGACACAAGTTTTAACTATTTTTGATTGATGTACACCCTGTTTTTTTACTTCTGCCCCATTTCCCAATCCACAGTTCTAAGTCGGTGATCCCTAAGAATTTCCATGTTCAGTGACATAATAAGCAGCTTTGTGTTTATTAAGTGGTTACAATTTTCTTTCAGTGTTGTCCAATTCATTAAACATCTTAGTTTAAACCCAGTCATCAGATACACCGTCTGTTGCACAGTTCTTTTTTTTCCGGATTTATCCTTTAAAAATAGTTGTTAACAATGTAGATGATGTTTTGCTGTTTGCATTGTGTATTGGTGTGAGGTGCCCCTATTCATTTCTCTTGTACGGAACTAATCCTACTTAACCATTACCCAAACATATCTAATCCTCCGTAGTCGGGGGATTAGTGCAGACAAAAGCCCATAATTAGTCCTTAAAGCAAAAGTGCTACTTTGACAGCTCACAGATTTCAATTGAATGCAGACCGGTAAAGCAGCCAAATCACAGAGCGGGCCAGCTTCTTAAAAATACTTGAGACTTAAAATTTATCTTCAAAATATTTCAAAATTGAACTGAAGGAAACTATCTGAAACATAGGGAATAAGCAGACATCAGACAAAGCGTACAGCTATTTATATGTAAGTAACTATAACTATATATTTTTTTAACATAAAAAAAAAAATCTGAAAAACAGAAATTTAAAAACAAGTCATATAATTTTACTATTGTTGATGTACAGTATATTTGCCTGTTGGATATAAATTATTACTGGTGCCTTAACTAATATGACTTTTTATTAAGATGGGTCCCTGGGAGAATTATCCAGACCTGAGATAGCAAGATGTACTTAAGATTTCTCAATATCCTTCTTAGTATTTTTTCCTTTTGACCTGAATACAACACCAATAGAAATAAGATCTTTATTAGATGTAGAACAGTTGATTGTCAGTGTGGCCATTTCTGAGTTATATCTCACATTATTAATAATATTAACAGTATAAAAAATGTATGTATATGTATATAGTAGTTAGTAGTTTGTATGTATACAAATATTAACAAACATAACCTCTCTGGTCTTTGTGTGTGTGTGTTATCCTTGGTTAAACTATTAATAGGCAATCAGTAAAGTTCACTTCTGACAAATGTTCTGATAATAAATGTCTTCTTCTTGTCATTGGTGATATCTTCAATGGGTGATATGCTATTAGTTTTTGGAATGAATGAGTTTTAGTGGTGTGGGTGTTTGTTGATAAATGGATTTTATGGGGGCATTACAGATGTGTTTTGAGCCTGGGTGGTAAAGAGAAAGAAAGGAAGAGATTACTTTAATAGAAGGACTTGGAAATGAGATGGTTCAGATTCGAAAATTTATCTCGTCGTTTATAGTTCTTGGAAGTGTTTTGATGATGAATTAATATATATGAACTTTTTAACGAAACTCGTTTTTATTCATTGCTAAAAATGACTTCTTACAGAATGGAATGAACTATGTGATGTTCCATAAACAAGTCTCATTAAAAAGCTTTGGGTTGTTAGTTGCAATAAGAAAGGTATGCAACTGAATTACCAACAAGAGTGCTCTGCATATACATCCTTAATTATACTTCTATACAGTTGTGGGTTAGGTAAATACAAGGAAGGACCAATAATGAACCTTCAGTGGTAAATATATACAGTAGTGAACATCATGTGTGAAATTATTTTTGAAGGTAGGTAATTTTTAAATGCTTATTTTTTTTTATAATCTCGCTCCCATATAGGGAATTTATTCAAAACTCCAGGCCTCCGGCCCCTTGTAAAACAAATTATTAAAAATTAAGTAAACATGCTGTGACAATACCTTAAATAAATTTCATTAATACACTCATGTTTCCTTGTTTTCTTTTCTCTTAAATTCATGGTAAATAAATAAACATACTTTTCTAATAATATTACTGTTTTGCGAGGACATAATTTGATAAAATTTTTCATTTGTTAGAAAGTTAATATAATATGATGGGGGATATGTTCTTCTTAAATCAGTATATAATTTGCAATAAATGCTTATTAATTGACATGTCGACAAGGACGCGCAGCCCCGCTTACAAAGTCACAAAAACCTTGGCGGCTAGATTTACCGAGTTGGCCAACATTTTCTTTGCTATCAACCTTCTTTAAGAAAGAAAATTCAGGGTAGGCGGTATGGAAATAAATCATATATTCATAGTGTTAATCTATTTCATGGAACAGGCGGGGAAATTGTTGTAAAAGCCTCTGTATTTTGCTCCCAAAGGAAGAAGGAAAAGTCGCATTCAGTCAACCTCGTTGCCAGCAAAGGCCAAGTCACTGATGCGCACTGCTCGTGTAAATTTGGGTATCTATAACCAAGCATAGACATCTAGGCCTAGGCTCACGTATGTTTCGCATTGACAACCAGCTGTCAAAGGAAATTAAAATGTCCGAGATCACATGACTGAATGATGCTCGATGTTTATCTGTCAATCAAATCTCACAACCAAAAACCTCCACCATAAGCTGTATTGTATTTTTTTTTTTTTGAATAATTTTTATACACTGCAAAAAGGCATAGAACAAACTCCCCAAAAAAAATTAATTAATTTTAGTTAAAAATCAACAACCAATAATATTTATATTCTTTGTCAGTGCCCAGTTTGTTTGTTTGCCTTTACCTAAATCAAATTGTTTATATATAATGGTTGACACCACTGTTACATATTTTCTTTTAATTACTGTTAATTTAATTTATATATTTCTGATATTCACTTCTTTTTTGTTTAAGTTATTCACTATTGAAATCAGTGCTATGTCATTGAATGTGTTATCAATCTAAGACACTATAAATAAATAAGTTTTGGAGAACTGCACATAGACATGCTGTACATAAAAGGTAAAATAACAAAGCTTATTATGGGAAACCAACAAATTTATTGAAGTTTTAGAAGTAGAAATAAATTGGAATGTATAGAATATCTGTGTGCAATTGTAATTTAAATCTCTGGTATGTGATATCTGCATTTGAGGTACTTGTGACAGAATGTTATCTATATAAATAAATTGCTAAAGACAACTACTGTAGTTTTGATACATTTCATTGGGGATCTAGGGATTTGTAATTGATGGGGACCAGGTAGGGACTTTTACAGGTAGAGGGTCCCGACCACATCAGCCTTACCATGGCAGAGGCTCGACAAAATTTTATGGATACCATAGTGAATCCAGGGAGAAATGTGCCCACCTCCCCTCCCCCCCAAAAAAAAAATGATATGGGGAAGAAAAGAAAACAAAGGAGTAAGAGGGGAGCATGATACTCCAAAACAAGTCTCAACTCCATGTTCCAGTGTATTGTCAAGAGTTTATAAACAAAAATCTCCACCCATTCAGCGCTTCATGCGTTGTATGGCCCTACCCAGATTTTTCTCTGGACCTAAGGCACCTCCAGGTAGCCAGAAATTGGCACTCTAATAATAATAATAATAATAATAATAATAATAATAATAATAATAATAATAATAAAAATAATAATAATTTATTTGGAATCTTCACTTTTATAACAGTGGCACACTTCGTCTTTTCAAAGAAAAAACAAAATTAAAGTAATGAAGGTAAACTTGAAAATAGGCGACATAGACACAAAGGCAAATTAAGACCATTTACAAAGAGTTATTAACAACTAATTAAGAGACGCTTACTATATAATTTCAAAATAAAATGTAATGACAAGAAAGATCGAAGTTTCGGGTCCATCATGAGAATGGTTCCATTATTAATTAACAACTAGATAGATTATTAAATTCAATCAAATTCATTTGTTTTTTTAATTTTCCAAAAATTTATGGGGCTTGCAAGATAAATAAAAATAAACTTACTATAAAACAAAGTGGTTTAAGTTTTCATAACAGATTGTGTAAATTTAATTTACTGTGTTGTGTTTTTACCAAGGTAGTGACCTTACTTCAATGGTGTTTGTACATAAAAATTCCTTCATTTGTCTACAGAGCCAATTCTAATTGCTACTAACATATGTAAGTAATCAACTCCTTTTACAAAACTTATGTAATCAATTCTTAATGACCTACCACACACACACACACACACACAGAATGATAGCCCCATCCATACACTCACAATACTTCAGAAGCTCCACACACCATTACATGGAGGTATAAAGATACCTCCATGCATTTACCCACACTACTGTAGATGAGAAGAGACAGAATATACTTTGTAAGTTCGACTTCTTATTGAATTTATGTGCATGTTAAATTTATTATGTGTGTCATATTTATTGCCTGCTAAACTAGATTGTATGCTTTTTGTTGACTTTCTGTTTGTACAAACACGTCTGTAACATTGTAATATATATCAGGGGCGGATCCAGAAATGTCCGAAAAGGGGGTGGGGGCCGATAGAGATAACACCACCCTAGGGGGCTGGGGCATGCCCCACGAAATTATTTAAAAAAAATTTGTTTTAACCTTCCAAAAAGCGAGGGGGCTGGGGCCGGCCCACCCCTCTCCAAAATTTTCCCCTGTATATAATAATAAAAATGTTGGGAATGTAAGCAATTAATTGTTTCCGCCGACACTGTCTGAACAAGTCTTCTTGCTGATGTACTAAAACGATAGATGATAGTTGAAATTTGGATAGACTTTGATAGCTTTTCCCTTTGTCTTTAGATAAAGAGCAATAGATAACAGATTAAATAATTTTGCCCCAGGTATATGCATCAGTCAAAGATGAGTTCAATCTTCAAGATACATGTTTATCAAAGAAAATTTTCCACCTTGTTTGCAATTTTCCTTGACTACACTCATTTTTTTATATTATTATTGTGCAGTTGATCCGTGGACCAATGATTGATTAAAATTGATATACAATCCACAAGAAAAGGATTTACATCCTCGAGGTCCCTTTAACACTTAAACAATTAACTGAAGGCAAAACAGCGATAGTAAAACAACAAATTTTGTAAATCAGAATATAAAGATACATGGTTACAATCTGTTTTTTTAATATATGGTAAAGTAAAGTTATTGCAATATAGCACACATTAATTTACCCAGGGAGTTGTTATTTACCTAATAAGAACAAAATGCAAGAAAAGAAAGTGGGTCCCCCCCCCCCCACAATTTGAAAAACTGTTCCGCCGGCCCTTAACAGTGCAGCCCCCCACCAGTTCTCTGTCCCCCAGCATCCACACTGTCTGAACAAATCTTGCTGATGTACTAAAACAATAGATGATAGTTGAAATTTGGACAGACTTTGATGGATTATTTTAAAAGGGAATTATTTTATATTGATGTACCATATGTGTAAATTACATTGGATAGCTTTTCCCTTTGTCTTTAGATAAAGAACAATAGATAACAGATTAAATAATTTTGCCCCAGGTAAATTCATCAGTCAAAGATGAGTTCAATTTTCAAGATACATGTTTATCAAAGAATATTTCCACCTTGTTTGCAATTTTCCTTGACTACACTCATTTTTTATATTATTATTGTTCAGTTAATCTGTGGACAGATGATTGATTAAAATTGATATACGTACAAGTTGTATGTGTTAACAGTTCATTAACACCTAATGATTGCAGCTGTTACTCATTCTTCTATAGGTGTAATTTGAATTGTTCAAGATG